AGACAAGGTAGAAGGGGCGATCATTTTTGGAGGGTGTAATTAAAGTAAGAAGTGGGAATGATACTAGGCCCTGGAGGACACACCTTCGCCAGTTGTTCCTATAACTATCGTCATTTCCTTCTGGTGTTCGTTCACTCTAACATTTATCTTTGGGAAATAGTGTTCCATGATAAATATATCCATAGTGAGTTTCTCCCATGGTGGGTGTTGAGGGTGGGGTGTCTCCCATGGTGGGTGTTGAGGGTGGGGTGTCTCCCATGGTGGGTGTTGAGGGTGGGGTGTCTCCCATGGTGGGTGTTGAGGGTGTGTCTCCCATGGTGGGTGTTGAGGGTGTGTATCTCCCATGGTGGGTGTTGAGGGTGGGGTGTCTCCCATGGTGGGTGTTGAGGGTGGGGTGTCTCCCATGGTGGGTGTTGAGGGTGGGGTGTCTCCCATGGTGGGTGTTGAGGGTGTGTGTCTCCCATGGTGGGTGTTGAGGGTGGGGTGTCTCCCATGGTGGGTGTTGAGGGTGTGTGTCTCCCATGGTGGGTGTTGAGGGTGTGTGTCTCCCATGGTGGGTGTTGAGGGTGGGGTGTCTCCCATGGTGGGTGTTGAGGGTGTGTGTCTCCCATGGTGGGTGTTGAGGGTGTGTGTCTCCCATGGTGGGTGTTGAGGGTGGGGTGTCTCCCATGGTGGGTGTTGAGGGTGTGTGTCTCCCATGGTGGGTGTTGAGGGTGTGTGTCTCCCATGGTGGGTGTTGAGGGTGGGGTGTCTCCCATGGTGGGTGTTGAGGGTGTGTGTCTCCCATGGTGGGTGTTGAGGGTGTGTGTCTCCCATGGTGGGTGTTGAGGGTGGGGTGTCTCCCATGGTGGGTGTTGAGGGTGTGTGTCTCCCATGGTGGGTGTTGATGGTGTGTCTCCCCCATGGTGGGTGTTGATGGTGTGTCTCCCATGGTGGGTGTTGAGGGTGTGTGTCTCCCATAGTGGGAGTTGATGGTGTGTGTCTCCCATGGTGGGTGTTGAAGGTGTGTATCTCCCATGGTGGGTGTTGAAGGTGTGTATCTCCCATGGAGGGTGTTGAGGGTGTGTGTCTCCCATGGTGGGTGTTGAGACTGTGTGTCTCCCATGGTGGGTGTTGAGGGTGTGTGTCTCCCATGGTGGGTGTTGATGGTGTGTCTCCCCCATGGTGGGTGTTGATGGTGTGTCTCCCATGGTGGGTGTTGAGGGTGTGTGTCTCCCATAGTGGGTGTTGATGGTGTGTGTCTCCCATGGTGGGTGTTGAAGGTGTGTATCTCCCATGGTGGGTGTTGAAGGTGTGTATCTCCCATGGAGGGTGTTGAGGGTGTGTGTCTCCCATGGTGGGTGTTGAGACTGTGTCTCCCATGGTGGGTGTTGAGACTGTGTGTCTCCCATGGTGGGTGTTGAGACTGTGTGTCTCCCATGGTGGGTGTTGAGACTGTGTGTCTCCCATGGTGGGTGTTGAGACTGTGTGTCTCCCATGGTGGGTGTTGAGACTGTGTGTCTCCCACGGAGGGTGTTGAGGGTGTGTATCTCCCATGGTGGGTGTTGAGACTGTGTGTCTCCCATGGTGGGTGTTGAGGGTGGGGTGTCTCCCATGGTGGGTGTTGAGGGCGTGTATCTCCCATGGTGGGTGTTGAGGGTGTGTCTCCCATGGTGGGCGTTGAGGGTGGGGTGTCTCCATGGTGGGTGTTGAGACTGTGTGTCTCCCATGGTGGGTGTTGAGGGTCTGTCTCCCATGGTGGGTGTTGAGGGTGTGTGTCTCCCATGGTGGGTGTTGAGGGTGTGTGTCTCCCATGGTGGGTGTTGAGGGTCTGTCTCCCATGGTGGGTGTTGAGGGTGTGTGTCTCCCATGGTGAGTGTTGAGGGTGTGTGTCTCCCATGGTGAGTGTAGAGGGTGGGTGTCTCCCATGGTGAGTGTAGAGGGTGGGTGCCTCCCCCCACCCCCCACTCACGATGCAAGAGCTCCGGGCTGAACACAAATCCTTGAGAAGCGAGAGTTCCTCAAGTGTGTCTCCGTCCCAGTGCTCACACACACTGTTAATTCTCAATTGCAAATTCTGAACCGGCATTAAGAAGGGAAATGAGATGTAAATTCTGAAGAATATTCATACGTTCCCGTCGGCGACCAAGACAGAGGTGGTGATTTTTGTCCTCCTGAACACTGAGCCCCTCCTTGCCCCCCGGCCCTCCTGTGGGACAGTCCCAGCCCTCCTGTGGGACGGTCCCGGCCCTCCTGTGGGACGGGTCCCGGCCCTCCTGTGGGACGGGTCCCGGCCCTCCTGTGGGACGGGTCCCGGTCCTCCTGTGGGACGGGTCCCGGCCCCCCCCTGTAGAAAGTACTCCATGGACCACTATATAGCTCTTGGAAGGGATATGAGGAGCTGGGATGTGAGGACGGGGTAAAGGAATGGTGCCCAGTCACGTTGACTATCGGGCATCGAACGCTGACTCTCCCAAAAGTAAGGGCGTCACTTTACCGAACAGTCCAAGTGGTTGTGTTGATGTTTAACTCTAGCAAGTGTTGGGTGGTAGATTGCTTCTGCGGACAGGAAGCTTAATCTTGCTCAAAACCTGTCCCCCTGGGATCACACACATTACCGGACACCATCAGCTACATGCGCATGACTGAACAGCGTGAACACTCCCTTCAGAAAGCACGAACGTCGTCGTTTGTTCTGATGTGTGGGTCTGAGGCCAGATTCACGAAAGCACTTACGCAAGCACTTACGAACCTGTACATCTTTCCTCAATCTTTGGCGGCTTTGTTTAAAATTATTAAACAGTTAATGAGCTCCGAAGCACCAGGAGGCTGTTTATAACAATAACAACAGTTGATTGGCAAGTTTTCATGCTTGTAAACTGTTTAATAAATGTAACCAAAGCCGTCAAAGATTGAGGAAAGATGTACACGTTCGTAAGTCCTTGCGTAAGTGCTTTCGTGAATCTGGCCCCTGGTCATCATATCTTCAGCCACGTTACTGTGCCTCGTCGTCTGCACCTTGACAGTGTTGTGCTTCTCCCAGATATTATCAGAATATACCCCTTGAAGGACAAGCTAGCTGACAGCCGGTGTGAGACTACACGAGGGGAACCCAGCAAGTTGACACCTATGTATCCTTCGGGGTTGATCAGGCATGAGGTGCTTGGGGATACGCAGCGTGCAGGGTTCGAAACTATCCACATGGATCCTATTCATCGTCTCACTGATATATCACGTTAATGGGATTTCTTTGTGCACAGGGCAGCAGGAAAATGAGCAGAAACCTCAGGGCTGTCAGTTCCCGGTGTCAGCGCCTCAATGTGACAGTCCAGAGTGGAAACTCCTGTTATATCCTCGGTTCCTCACCGGAAGCTGAGAAGCACCAAGAGATTCAGAACCTTTAACTATTTTTTTGTATTCACCTTCTTGTAACTTTCAAAAATGTCAAATAAAGAAAAATGAAAAAAAAGAAGGAACTGGTACACACATACTATATTATATATATATATATATATATATATATATATATATATATATATATATATATATATATATATATATATATATATATATATATATATATATATATAAATAATAAGTGGGCATTGAGGTGACTTGAACACGGTGTTCTGGTTATTCTGGAAATCACCAGAACGCTGGTTCAAATCAGCTCAGTGCCCAAAATGATTTTCTCATTGATATTACAAACCATTGTGATTTCTTTGTGATATAGAACAATAACCAGGAAGGACAAGTAAGACAGACAGCAGGACATTTGCCTGACCACTACACATTGTCCTCCAGGACATCATCAGAGATCAGACGCTAAACTGAATAGGAAATATAAATATATTTCTCAATTGTGATATGAATGGAATCAGGAAATTGTTTGTCTTTCTTTCTTCTATATATTTTTTATCCAACTGAACCATCGGATATCGACTCCTGCAAGGTGCAAGTTCAATTTCTGATGCTTCCATATATATGGAACCATCAGAGATTGTTGATATATATCAACATGAATTCCATAAAATCATGTTGATATATATATATATATATATATATATATATATATATATATATATATATATATATATATATATATATATATATATATATATATATCAACATGATTTTGGGCAGGTATAAAACAGCAAGTGAATATTATTTAATATATGAGGTTGAAGACATGAGAGCTAGGAGGCGGCAGGTGGGTTCAGCATGCTGAGGCCTGGCCTAGGCTGCCCTGCATGTTGAGGCCTGGCCTAGGCTGCCCTGTATGCTGAGGCCTGGCCTAGGCTGCCCTGTATGCTGAGGCCTGGCCTAGGCTGCCCTGTATGCTGAGGCCTGGCCTAGGCTGCCCTGCATGCTGAGGCCTGGCCTAGGCTGCCCTGCATGTTGAGGCCTGGCCTAGGCTGCCCTGTATGCTGAGGCCTGGCCTAGGCTGCCCTGTATGCTGAGGCCTGGCCTAGGCTGCCCTGTATGCTGAGGCCTGGCCTAGGCTGCCCTGCATGCTGAGGCCTGGCCTAGGCTGCCCTGCATGCTGAGGCCTGGCCTAGGCTGCCCTGCATGCTGAGGCCTGGCCTAGGCTGCCCTGCATGCTGAGGCCTGGCCTAGGCTGCCCTGCATGCTGAGGCCTGGCCTAGGCTGCCCTGCATGCTGAGGCCTGCCTAGGCTGCCCTGCATGCTGAGGCCTGGCCTATTCTGCCTTGCATGCTGAGGCCTGGCCTAGGCTGCCTTGCATGCTGAGGCCTGGCCTAGGCTGCCTTGCATGCTGAGGCCTGGCGTTGGCTGCCCTGCATGCTGAGGCCTGGCCTAGGCTGCCTTGCATGCTGAGGCCTGGCCTAGGCTGCCTTGCATGCTGAGGCCTGGCCTAGGCTGCCTTGCATGCTGAGGCCTGGCCTAGGCTGCCCTGCATGCTGAGGCCTGGCCTAGGCTGCCCTGCATGCTGAGGCCTGCCCACCAACACCTATCAAAGCAAGCAATACATCAGCCTAAAGGAAGGGTAAGAGGGAACCTACCCTGTTCGGGACCCGGGGGTACTACGGGCCTCATACCACGCCCATCGACCACGCCCCTTGGACTAAAAGTGACCAACCGACTCTCACCCAAGCCAAGCGACGGTATGATAGGTTGAACAGCCTCCAGGGGTGGAGCTCTAGTTGCGAATGGCGCTCTTATTGGCTGGCCGGGAAGCGAGGAGGAGCTGGATTGGTGGGCGGGTTCGGGCGAGAGGATTTTAACAACATATGGAGACTGGGGAGTAGAGGAAGACTTGAGCTGGAGGAGACAAGCAGCGGCATTCTGGTCATCTAAACTTGATGAAGCTTTTGAACTTTTGGTATCCTTAGTCTTATGCGACTTAAAGACAGAAAAATCGAGATTCTTAATTTCATTCTTCTGGTTGTGTTCACTTACGTTATCGACAGCCTCGGGTTTATGTTTCCCAGGTATTGATAGGTCAAGTTCACGCAATTCACTTTCATCCTCAACAATACGCATTTCGTTACTGGTGTCGTCATCATCATCGTCGTCGTCTGCAAAACAGTCATTAGAACCAACGGTTTTGTTGGCGTCGTCGGAAATGTCAGAGCCGTCGTCGCTTGTCTGACTGCTGGGTCGGCTTCGAGGCTTCGAGAGGTCTTGTGGGCCGTCGTCACCACCGTTGGCGGCGGCCAAGCGACTACTCTCGCTCTCACTATTGCTCTTGTTGACCGCTGGGTCAGCACCCGAGGAATCACTGGAGTCGCTGGAAGTTTCAGTCTGTATTTTGTCGGCTCGCTCCGAGTCTTTCTGGTTTTTGAGGAGCTGTTGTGCCGCCATGAGATTTTGGAATGGCGAAGGCTTCAACTTGTGCGTCATGAGTGGCCGTGACTGGCCTGTGGAAGGTGACTGTAAATTACTGCCGAGTTTCCCAGTACGACACTCGATCCATCTGGAGAGAATGGCATCCCGAGGGTACTGAGTTGCGTCTGGAAGCTCCTTCTGATCTTTCTCTGTTTCCTTTGCAGGCTTAATATCCTTAAGATTACTTATTCTCGTTAATGCTAAAGGTTCGGAAGAGGCTGGAAGCGCTGAGGAAGTACTTGAATCTTTTTCTCCGTCTTTTGATAGTTTTTTATGTTGTGGGCGTATTGGTGGGGGTGTGGTGCTGCTGTCTTTATCGTCGTTGCTCGGAGTCTCTGGCTCCGTCGTGTCGTTTTCTGTGTGGCTTTTATCTGAAGGTCCTCGGACGGGCGAGTTGGAGGGATTATGGCTTTTGTGCTCGTGTGCTTTGTGCTCTTTTTGTAGACTATTAGATCGAGGCTTCTCTTTTGGCTTTTCCTTAACCTTATTTGCCTTTTCTCTTCTGCCTTTTTCTTTGGTGGAAGGTATACTGCTTATTTTGTCAACCTTTTTGAGGCTCTCGAACCGCTGACTTGCGTCAGCAGTCTGTGTATATTTTTTATTAGTATTTCCTTTATGGTGAGAGAAGGTTTGGGTTGTAAGGGCCGCGTCCGCAGAGGATGCTCGTCTGGTGACCATGGTGGTGCTTCCCTTGCTGTGGTTACTCTCGCTCTCTCCACTCTCCCCATCACCTTCTCCCTCCCTCTCCCTTCCTTCCCTCCCTTGCCCATCCTGCTTCCTCTCACTCCCTTCCCCTTTTCTGGGGCGCCCCCTACCGCTCCCTTTCCCAGACTTTCCCGCCTTTCCAGCATTCAGCTTTCTCTCCATTCCCGATGTCATGACGGCATTCGATCTGCAAAGAGATAAAATTATCTCATCAAACTACTGAAGGCTCAGTCAGCGCTTCGGTATTTTTCAAAGTGGGTCATCCGAATTTGTAAAGTAACTGAACCCACAATCTTCAAATGAACCATTGCAACACAAATCTGGATGGACTAAATGGAAGCAAGTTTTTAAACGTTCATGTATCGAATGCATTCTTAAACGTCTGATCTCTTCGTGTGATGTTTAGTTACTGATTTTTTATTTTTATTTTACGGGTTAGTTTTGCTCGAGGTATGAGATGGTATAGTGTGTGTGGCAGGTGTCTCAGGGGGCGCGTGAGGCGTTACCCCTGGCACTCTCATATCGGGAAGTGAGAAAACTGAATCACTGGAAGAAACTGAGACCGGCCACCAGACCGTAAGCTGAGGACCACTGCTGGAGATGCGGCGGCGGCGGCGCCCTCCACCCGCTACCCCACACTCTACGCTATCATCTATCCTCTTTCCTTACACCCATTTCCAACTGCTCTATATAAGAGCTCTAACTGTTTTTTTAAACTCTGTGCCGTTATGTAAAAGTAAAAGCGATCTTAATTTAATAAGAATTTTTTTTCCAAGTTTACTCTTTCTCATGTTAGCCAATAACAAACTGTTCGAGAATCAAGAGGTGAATGATCATGCTAGTTGTTGGCCGGCGGGGCACAAGCGCCAGTATACACGAGTAAATGACGTCTCTCAGCGACGTCTGGGTTCGCGCACAAGTTGTGAAACTCCTCCTCAAAGAGCAGAGTTGCGTTCAGGTCTAACATGTATCAAATGCCAGTCTAGTGTGAGGTAGTCAACCAGCTGTGTGTCGGGCACAGTCATGTCCAGATCTCCAGCAGTGTAGAGTGAGCACAGCGGTGTTCTGCTTCTACAGCAACACAATACGACAGGCCAGCGCTGTACTCAGCTCCACTGCATACACAGTCATACACAAGAAGCCATGCACGGCTGTATACGGCTCCACTGCATACACAGTCACACACAAGACGCCATGCACGGCTGTATACGGCTCCACTGCATACACAGTCATACACAAGAAGCCATGCACGGCTGTATACGGCTCCACTGCATACACAGTCACACACAAGACGCCATGCAGGGCTGTATACGGCTCCACTGCATACACAGTCATACACAAGAAGCCATGCACGGCTGTATACGGCTCCACTGCATACACAGTCACACACAAGACGCCATGCACGGCTGTATACGGCTCCACTGCATACACAGTCACACACAAGACGCCATGCAGGGCTGTATACGGCTCCACTGCATACACAGTCACACACAAGACGCCATGCAGGGCTGTATACGGCTCCACTGCATACACAGTCATACACAAGAAGCCATGCACGGCTGTATACGGCTCCACTGCATACACAGTCACACACAAGACGCCATGCACGGCTGTATACGGCTCCACTGCATACACAGTCACATACAAGAAGCCATGCACGACTGTATACGGCTCCACTGCATACACAGTCACATACAAGAAGCCATGCAGGGCTGTATACGGCTCCACTGCATACACAGTCACACACAAGACGCCATGCAGGGCTGTATACGGCTCCACTGCATACACAGTCATACACAAGAAGCCATGCAGGGCTGTATACGGCTCCACTGCATACACAGTCACACACAAGACGCCATGCAGGGCTGTATACGGCTCCACTGCATACACAGTCACACACAAGACGCCATGCAGGGCTGAGCTCACTTGCATTGCTTACATATGCAAACATTCTCAAGATGCAGATTACTGTTCAGTTACACGACAAGAACACCCGAAGCCGGGCTAAGCATAGAAATAAATAAATTGCAAGAGACAAATACAAATTTTATTTGTTTGAAGTCACACCACAATTTTATAATGATATGAGAGCTGCTATTATCACGACGTCACACCTACAGTGTCAGCCACAGTTAGACAAGGGAACACAAGGCTTATGAACGCTACCATCACATTACACTACCACACAAAGCCACAACAATAATGATAACAACAACACACCATCACACTATACAATCAAAACGAGAGCACATACCAGTAGCACACCACCATAACCACAACACTCTGCTAACAACACACTACCACAACCAATGAATGACTCCCTACAATACTACACCGCCACAATACACTACAATACACAATACCGCCAACAATAACTAATCCGCTCCCTCATCATTACAGTGTGTCAACACCCACACAGTAAACCCCACCACCACCTCCACAACCCACAATCATAACCTACCACTATCACAATACAACACCTCCACCATCACTACCACGACAAACACCACCCAACCACAACACAACAGGAGGGTATAAACAAGAGGGAATAGACTCATTCCTCTCAATGTTTGCTGACGACGCCAAAATTATGAGAAGGATTAAGACAGAGGAGGACAGCTTGAGGCTTCAAGAAGACCTGGACAAGCTGCAGGAATGGTCGAACAAATGGTTGTTAGAGTTTAACCCAAGCAAATGTAATGTAATGAAGATAGGTGTAGGGAGCAGGAGACCAGATACAAGGTATCATTTGGGAGATGAAATAATCAAGAGTCAGAGAGAAAGACTTGGGGGGTTGATATCACGCCAGACCTGTCCCTTAAAGCCCATATCAAGAGGATAGCATCAGCGGCATATGTCAGGTTGGCTAACTTAAGAACTGCCTTTAGAAACTTGTGTAAGGAATCTTTCAAAACTTTGTATACCACATATGTCAGACCAATCCTGGAGTATGCGGCTCCAGCATGGAGTCCATATCTAGTCAAGCATAAGACTAAACTGGAAAAGGTTCAAAGGTTTGCCACCAGACTAGTACCCGAACTGAGGGGGATGAGCTAGAAGTAGAGACTACGGAAATTAAACCACACGTTACTGGGAGACAGAAGAGTTAGTGGGAACATGAGCACCACACACAAGATTCTCACAGGAATTGATAGGGTAGATAAAGACAGACTATTTAACACAAGGGGCACACGCACTAGGGGACACAGGTGGAAATTGAGTGCCTAAATGAGCCATAGAGACGTTAGAATTTTTTTCAGCGTTAGAGTAGTAGACAAATGGAATGAATTAGGCAGTGATGTGGTGGAGGTTGACTCCATACACAGTTTCAAATGTAGATATGATAGAGCCCAGTAGGCTCAGGAATCTGTACACCAGTTGATTGACAGTTGAGAGGCGGGACCAAAGAGCCAGAGCTCAACCCCCGCAAGCACAACCAGGTAAGTACAACTAGGTAAGTACATCAACACCATCACAACACAACACCATTACAACAAAACAACATCATAACTCAAAATCACACGAGCACCTCAACAACTCTTATCCACATTAACAACACATCACAACACACCATCAAACCACCATACAATATGAAAACTGAAACCACACCAACACCCCCCACTGCAACACCACCCACAACACCACCCACAACACCACCCACAACACCACCACAACACCACCCACAACACCACCCACAACACCACCCACAACACCACCCACAACACCACCCACAACACCACCCACAACACCACCCACAACACCACCACAACACCACCCACAACACCACCACAACACCACCCACAACACCACCCACAACACCACCCACAACACCACCCACAACACCACCCACAACACCACCCACAACACCACCCACAACACCACCCACAACACCACCACAACACCACAAAAGTAACACAAACTCAGGAAGACATCCAACCCGAACAAGGACACAACCACCACAACCCAAACAGTCCAACCACTACAAACAACCACACAACCATCAACACTAACAACCCAATCAACACAATCATTAAACACCAGGTTGTGAACCAGTCTGAGCAACCCTCCAACACTCTCTCACAACACCCTCACAACACACTCTCACAACACCCTCACAACACCCTCACAACACCCTCACAACACCCTCACAACACCCTCACAACACTCTCAGAATAAAACAGTCGTGTTTCATTCCTGTGGGCGTCACTGCATACAGTGAATGGATATGAGGAGACATAATCACCACATACAAGGTTCTCAGAGGAATTGATAGGGTAGATTAAGACAGACTATAAAGTGTGGATGGTGAAACCAGCAGTGATGACATAGTGAACAACTAACGACTTGTTTGACCTGCCATCGAGAGCGGAACGAGGGGGGGGGGGGAGGGGGGGAGGGGCAGAGATGCACGCTAGACACACGGGGTCACTGACACACACTTCAGAAGGAACACCAGATAAGTTCTGGTGTTCTTAGATGTCAGAGAAGATAGATGTCAGAGAAGATAGATGTCAGAGAAGATAGATGTCAGAGAAGATAGATATCAGAGAAGATAGATGTCAGAGAAGATAGATGTCAGAGAAGATAGATATCAGAGAAGATAGATGTCAGAGAAGATAGATATCAGAGAAGATAGATGTCAGAGAAGATAGATGTCAGAGAAGATAGATGTCAGAGAAGATAGATATCAGAGAAGATAGATATCAGAGAAGATAGATATCAGAGAAGATAGATGTCAGAGAAGATAGATATCAGAGAAGATAGATATCAGAGAAGATAGATGTCAGAGAAGATAGATGTCAGAGAAGATAGATGTCAGAGAAAGGAAGTCAGTAAAGAACTGGTGTTAGAGTCGTCAAAAGAGTAGTGGGGTTAAATGAGGATGTAGTTCGAACTAATCCAATGTAAATTTTAATTAAACGTAAAGATGATAAGAGAAGTATAGTAATGGCTGCATTGCGTTTATTTAAGAAATGTTGGAATGGAGAAGCTGGGAGCCTGGCTTGACCGAGCATGCACAACTAGGTGAGTACACTTAGGTGATAAAGTGTTGTGGAGGGAGTG